TTTTCTCACATGAGTATGACTTAATAGACATTACTACCCCACCACTTAGGAGGCAGCTAGGTAGCTCAGTGGATAGAGCACTGGCCCTGGAGTCAGGAACACCCGAGTTCAAATCTGGCCTCAGACACTTACTAGCTGTGTGACCCTGGCCAAGTCCCTTAACCTCTGCTTGCCTTAATCCACTGGAGAAGGAAATGGCAAACCACTCCAACATCTTTGCCAAGAAATCTCCATGGACGGTATTGGTGTGCTATGGTCTGAAGAGTTGGACATGACTGAAAAACAACAATGCCACCACTCCCTCTTTTACTTATCCTGTTTCTTTAGAATAACGTGTACTCCTCTAGAGGCATGGTTTAGCTACAGGTTTCATCACACTAAATCCCAGTGATACCCATCAGCTGAAGGTTACCTCCTTGTGGCAGACTGTATAGTTCCTCTTGTTTATGGCCTACACTTTAGGCCTTTGTATTTGAGGCCATAGATTTTACTACAGGCTACTTTCTTGTATTTTGTCAGCTGTAAACTGATTGTTTCAAATTCTGTTTATCTTCCTTCATTGTAGGTACTTTCTCTGGTATCTAGCCTGGATGATATAGTGTTCTGCCTTCCCAATCATTTTTTTTTATTTAAAGCCCTTTTGATGAGATTTGCAAGGCACCTGGCAAGTACATTCCTACCAGCCTTTGTGAGTTGTACCCTATCTCTGGCCAGAATCTGTCATCCATATATGTTAAGCCATGGTCCAAAAGTCAAAATGCCTTTTGCAAGCAGACTTTCTTAGCCTGCTGTTGACTCTTCAACTAAATTTTTCTCTACTGCAGAGTCAGGAAGACTTGAGTTCAAATCCTGCCTCTGACACTTACTAATTATGTGGCCCTGGAATGTCACCCTCATAGCTGCAGTTTCCTCATCTGTAAAATGAGGATATAATTGTAGTACCTACCTCACAGGATTGTTTTGGGGGTGAAATGGGATAACATGGATAAAGTGTTCTGCAAAACTTAAAGTGCTATATAAATCCTAGCACTTATTATTCATTATTGTTATTAACAACAGTGAAGAAAATACAATCCGTGCCCCTATGTTTTTTAAAGTTTCCTTCCTAAATCTTCATAATTACTGACAATGCTTTGTAGATGCCTTCTGGCAGTGCCATTTGTGCCTACATGAGTCACCAGAAGTGGGTATTTATTATCCATTTTGATAAGTCCTGGGATATTTCTTGTTATATCTTGGATACGTACCCCAGGAAGACAACAGATCTCTCTAATTGTTGTTATCAGGTTGACAAATGTCACTCTATCTTTTCCACAGAATAGCGTGAAAACCTTTGTCAACTGCTTTACTAAAATCTAGGTAACAGTATGTATAGGTTTTCCTTGACCTTCCAGTCTGATAACCCTTTATAAAAAGAAAACAAGGTTTGTCTGACATGAATTGTTCTTAATAAAGCCCTGCTTGCTCTTTGTGATCAACACATCTTTTCTTAAGCCTCCCTAATGAGATCTCCAGCCATTCAGAAGAGATCAGGCTAACATTCCACACAGGAAAAATCATTTGAAGAATGCCCTTTGCCAAGACTATGATATACAATCGGTTGGACAGCCCATTGAGTTAATCCATATGCACTAACAGATACTACAAATTGACAAAGAACTGGGTACAAAATTGAATAGGAGGAAAAGAGGAGACTGAATTGGCATTTGAGAAATTGTCCAGTGCTTTCAATGATTCTTGGGTGCTCCCTGACAGAAAAACCTGTCTTTTAGCCCTAGTGTTTTTCACAGTTATCTATGAAATCATAGACCACCAGTTTTTGAAGTTTCAAAATTGTTGGTACCCAAAGAGAGATGTATGGTGGGCTGCAGTGTTATTACCAACAGTGACTTGAATGCCAGAAGTAGTGTAAAACATATCACCAGAAGTGTAGGTGGACAAAGAGATAGCAGATGAATAGCCTGAGTGTTGCATTACTACTCACAAAATAATTTTAAAAAGCTGGAGTATGGACTTCAGTGACTAGTTCGATTCAAAATGGAGGTTTGTGGAAGAACACATACAAAAACTGCATAGGATGAGACAGTGTGATCAGGTAGTGAGCCGCAGCATTGGAGGACATGTCCATGTCAATGAAATCATGGATCTGTTGCACTACTGATCCACCAGTACCTTGTGCATTACCTTGTGGAGACTTCAATACTTCCAGGGTCTATGGTCTCTTTATTCTGTGTCTTTAATCCCTGATGCAGATTATAGCCATTATATGATTTGGTAGATGATTTTAGCTGTTGTGACTGAAAATTCCATCTCTCTGACACCAACTTTCTGGTCGTGGTGAGCCTTTAAAAACACATTTAGGCTGGTCCCCAGAGGAAAAATATAAATATTCATTGTTGTGTCCAAGCTTAAAGCCTTTCCAATTTGTTAGGACCAGCTGGAGCTAACACTCCATGGACATCACCTCCAAGAACCCAGGGTCATTTCCCTACTTTGAAAAAGCACAAAAGGAGGACTTTAGCAGAGAGATTGCAAACAGTCGGTGCTTAGTAAATGTTCTTTGAATGGATGGGTGGATGGATGAATGTCCGTTGAATCATTAGAAACAAAGGCTGTGTGTCAGTCTAGGACTACATTGTTGTATGTATGGAATTTATTAGGGTAGTTCCTCGATCAATTTTATGAGTTTGTAGGGAGGTGATCAAGACCAATCTTCTACATAGAATAACTCAGATTGATTGTCTTAATTGTAAACTACTTGGTGTTATTCCCCCACAGGCCCTTTTTTGGATCCTCCCTTAAGTCCCTCAGGTCCAGTGGGTCATGTTAAATCTTAGTGTTATTTTAATCATTTTAAAATTGTGTTCCTGTGTATAAAAGAATTTGACTCTGAAAGAAGGGAAGGTGTTGATCTTATTGTTCTAAAAGGAAGAAAAGACTAAATTCTCATCTGCAGAAGGTGGAAGGAACAGTTCCATGAGAAAGGCAAGACAGATTATTTCTCTAGTTTGTGAATGAGAATGAGAATGTTTTCTGAAAATATTTTTTAAATGAGCAATTCACTTAACTACATGGTGAGTAATCTGTTTTAAAAAAATGTTTCTTTTTTGTGTTTTTCTAAGAACATATACTGAAACTCTAGTACTGAAAGGAATGAACTAGTTTTCATTGCTCATTTTATGGCTAGTGGGGAGAAGGGTCTTTTACTTTAGTATCCACATTGCTTAATTCCCCCCTCCCCAATTTAAATTGGACCTAGAATCATTACAATTCTCAGGTTGGCCCATGTTGATAGTGGAGTTGCTTTTGAAAGAGATTGCATATTTGGCATTTTCCATACAATGGATAGTGTAGAAATACCTAAATCTAAAGTATACTAGAACAAGCCGCTTTAAGAGTGCTTATTTCTGATGCTTTTCAAATGGTTTGGAGTTGACTCCAAATCTAAAAAAGAAGGGAAATTTATTTTTTTAATGACTAATCAAATTGCTGAATTCACCATTTTCATCTTCAGAAAATCTTATTTTCAGCAGAACTTAGTTTTAATATATGTAACAAATGATATAATCTTCATAATGATCCAAACATGATTGAATCTCAAACCATTGTTTCAATGCATTAATAACAAGAATTGTTTTATGTTTGATTAATCTCTCCCTGAAAATCAAAACTTCCCTCTGCTGTCTGGTGAAAGCATGCTAAATCTGTATACACAGTGAGGAACACAAGGGTGAACAAAAGCCTTTTAGGTTTCTCATCTCTTATCTTTAAATAATGGTAAAAGATCTGTACTGTTTATACCAAAGAAATGCAACTATTTTCTGTTGCAGGCACATTTTGCAATCTGAGTTGTTTTTCTAAAAATTGGTGGTAATTAGTTGTTGGGAACCATTCCTGTGGTTCATTCTCCATGTAACCAAAAAAATAGGCATTGTCAAAATCCTGGATTAGGGTTTAGAGATCCAATCTGACCAATAATGTGGCCAAGGAATACGTAAAATTAACTGGCTGCTTATGAAGTTTGAACATAGGACTTAGGCTGCAGTTACGCTTCCATCTACCCAACTGAACAACTCATTAAGTAACCAGTGATTTGGCAGTAATCTAGATAATTCAGACAAATTCTTCTTTAACTCACTCAAAGCAACCAATTATGCCCATATTAGACCCACAATAAATATTTGCCTAATAAATTTCATATTTTGCAATTGACATTACTTTAATGAGCCACATTTGATAAGTACAGTACAATAACGTTCCCATTTGTCTGACATTCAGCTGTTTCAACTTAGCCATGAGAAATGTTAAACAAGTGAAAAAGGATCCTGAGTAGGGAAAACGACCATCATAAAGCCCATGCATTTTTGTATAAAAGAGTGATGCTTCTTTATGGATATCTAAGCCTGTTGCTGTAGAAATGTACATAAAATATAACTGATTCAGCAGGCTTTCTTTTCTTCTTTGTTGTAAGTAAGCAGCACATTAGAAACAGCACTTCGGAGAAGCTGACCTCAAGAAGTCACCAATACAGTGAAGAAAGTCATAGACCTACTATAAAGCAATCTGAGGCCGTTGTTCCCAGACCTGTGTAATCCCCGGAGGTATTACGGTGATAATGCAATGATATTATAGCACAGTAGGTGACACTGATAGTATGTCCCTTGCTTATCTGTAAAACATTAAATTATGTTTATTTTACTCTTTAAAAAAGTTAGGAAGACGTGTGATAGGTTTTAGAGTTCCATCATTAATTTTAAGGTTAGTTACCTAAAATTTATTTTATATAGAAGACCTCATTCCCTGACAATTTCAGCTCAATGGAGTTTTTAATGTATATAAAAAATCATTTGGAACCTTAAATATATATATATATATATATATATATATAAACATACACATGTGTATGTGTGTATATATGTGTGTATCTATATGTATACACATATATACACATATACATGTGTGTATATGTATACACATACTTATTGGTAAGTGTATATGTGTGTATGTATGTGTTTGGTATTGGTGGTGTTGGAGAGGAATATATTTTATTTAGCATGATTTTTCATTTGAGAAGCACCCGTTCATTTCTTGTGACAATAACAGGAGCATTGTGGGAGTTTATTTATCACCAAGGTTGATTGGGTTGTCATGATGGCTATTATTGTTCCTGGCATGCTTGTGTTGATAATTTCTTTAATTCTGGGGAGACAGTACAAACAGACAGAGGCCTCGTGTGTTTCATGAAGTCTTTTAGCCAGTGTAAAAGTTGTCTTCAGTCCTATAAAGTAGAATACAGTTTTAGAGCAGTTATGGGTCAAAATTAAATTCAAGAACCACTTACATAGCCTACTATGTGTAAAACCTTGTGCTTCATGCTGGAGGGGATAAAAAGATTAGATAAGACATAGCCTGTGCCCTCATCTACCTTATATTCTATAACTATGGGGTTCTTAACCTTTTTAGTGTCACGGATTCCTTTGGTAGTCTGATGGAACCTATTGATTTCTTTCTGGAATATTATTTTAATAATCTTTTATTTTTCCCCAATTACATGTTAAAACAGTTTTTAACATTTATTTTTTTTAAATTTTCAGTTCTAGGTTCTGTTTCTTTCCTTCCCCTCCCCTCTTTCTAAGTTAATAAGCATTCTGATAGAGCTTATGCATGTGCAGTCATGTACAATATTTCCATATATTAGTCATTTTATGTAAGAAAACTTGAACAAAAGTAAGAAAGAAAGAAAGAAAGTGAATAGCACCCTTCAGTTTGTATTCAGACAATATCAGTTCTTCCTTTGGAGCCTGATAGAAGGCTTCCTCATGAGTTCTTTGGGGTTGCCTTCGATCATTGTATTGCTGAAAATGGTTAAGTCATTCACAGTTCTTCATCATGTTATCATATGCTGTTACTGTGTACAATATTCTCCTAGTTCTGCTACCTTCACTTTGTCTCAATTCATATAAGTCTTTCCAGGTTTTTCTGAAATTATCCTGCTTGTCATTTCTTATAGCACAATTAGATTCTATCACAATCATATACCACAGTTTGTTCAGCCTTTCCCCATTTGTTGGACAACACATGCCAATGTGTTGAAAATTTCTTAGGCATCACAAAAAGAGCTGCTATAAATATTTTTGTATAAATAGGTCATTTTCCCTTTTTTATTTCTTTGAGATACAGACCTAGCAGTGATATCACTGGATCAAAGGGAATGCACAGTTTGATAGCACTTTAGGCATAGTTCCAAATTGCTCTTGAGGGTGGTTGGATTGGTTCACAGCTCCACTGACTATGCATTAGTGTCCCAGTTTTCCCACATACCCTCCAAGGCATTTATCATTTCCCTTTTTTGTCATATTAGCCAATCTGGTAGGTGTGAGGTGGTAACTTGCATTTCTCTAATCAATAAGGATTTAGAGCATTTTTTTGTATGACTCTAGATAGCATTGATTTCTTTGTCTGAAAGCTGCTTGTTCATATCCTTTGACCATTTATCTTTTTTTTTTGAGGCAATCAGAGTTAAGTGACTTGTCAAGGCTCACAGCTAGTAAGTGTCTGAGACTGGATTTGAACTCACTTCCTCATGACTTCAGGGCCAGTGCTCTGTCCACTGCACCACCTAGCTGCCTCCTGACCATTTATCAACTGGGGAATGACTTGTATTCTTATAAATTTGACTAATTTGAGAAATGAGGCTTTTATCATTTATTTGTTACAAAAATTTCCCCCAGTTTTCTGTTTTCCTTTTAATTTTGTTTACATTTGTTTTGTTTGTGCAAAACCTTTTAAATTTTATATAATCAAAATGTTCTATTTTACATTTTGTAATGCTCTCAGTGTCTTATTTGGTCCTAAATTCTTCACTTATTCATAGATCTGACAGATAAACTATTCTATGCTCTCCTAATTTGCTTACCGTATCACCCTTTATGTGTAACTCATATACTCATTTTGACCTTTGTATGTGGTGTGAGATGTTGTTCTCTATCTCATTTCTGCCATACTACTTTCCAGTTTTCCTAGCAGTTTTTGTCAAATAATGAGTTTTTGTTCCAAAAGCTCGGTTTTCAGGGTTTATCATATATTAGTTCACTGTAGTCATTTACTGTAATGTATTGTGCATCTAATCTATTCCCACCATTCTATTTCTTAGCTAGTTCCAGATTGTTTTGATAATTATTGCTTCATAATACACTTTGAGATTTGGTACAGCTAGATAATCTTCCTTCACATTTTTTTAATTGATTTCCTTGATGTCTTTGACATTTGTTCTTCCAGATGAATTTGTTATTATTTTTACTAGCTCTATAAATTTTTGGTAGTTTGATTGGGATGACACTGAATAAATAGATTAATTTAGGTGGAATTGTCATTTTATTATATTAACTTGGCCTACCCATGAGCAATTAATATTTTTCTAATTGTTAAGGTCTGACTTTATTCATGTGAAAAGTGTTTTATAATTGTGTTCATGTAGTTCCTGGGTTTGTCTTGGAAAGTAGACTCCCAAGTATTTTGTATTGTCTAATGTTATTTTAAATGGACAGATATTATTTTTAAACATATGAAATAAAATACATAGGATTAAAAAGGAAACTAATTATATTGAAACACAATTATTGGTCAAATTTTTTAAGTTCATGGACCCTAGGTTAATAGCCTCTTGTCTGGAAAAAGTATTATGATTTAATTTGGTATCAAAAACAAATAAAATCTCTTCATAGTATTTATGGTTAAAAGATATAGCATTCAAATTACTTTATACACTGGAATCTCACTATAACAACTATCAAATATAATTTGCTTTACTTCAATATTTTAAAAAATGTGTCATTTCATTGTTGTGGGTATTCCTTCCACCAACACATATCTCAAACCCTAGGGAGGCTTCAAGAGGTTTTATAGCCAGAGAGATTCTTCACCCTGTGAACACCTTATTACGAGTTTCATCCTCAGAGAACAGGTACACATCTCCTCATGGGACCTGTATTCAAAACTTTTCCAGCTTGGTAGGTCAATGGGAACTCTTTCTCCCTTTTGTTCTGAAGACTTCCTAGCTGTGTAAGATGACATATAGCTTCTTGGTATGACTGAAGAACTCTGTTTCTCTGTCAGCAAGAGACTTTCTAGGCATACTCAATGAGAAAATAGCCAGTATTGGCAGGAGAAGGCTCTGAAAAGATGAAGCTGAGAAGCTATTATCTGGGATTATATGCTCATAGTAGCAGCCAGAAAAGCAGCAGAGATACTATACCCAACAGATAGCAATAGAAAGTTTATGGTAACATTGCGAGAGGACAGCAGAAACCCGGCAAAATCAGAGGTGTAAGATGCCCTGTCTATGTTTGCTTTGACAATGTGTCTCCTTCATGCAAGCTTTGTATTTGACCATGCTGCCCAAATTCCTGGCATAGGCCCTTCCATGCATGTTCTCTGGCTACCCACTTACCTTGTGTATGGGCCCTCCATGAATTTTCTCTGGTTGTGTGTACTTTCTGTACGTGTGCTGTCCCCTGGTTAGGAGATAAAATGTTCTCTTTATTTTGTTTGCTATGTTATTTGATAAAATGTCTTTCATTTGAATGAAAATGTCCTCTGGCTTGGGATTAAGGACTATATGTTTGAGCAGATGTTGACTCAGAAGTATCCCAAACTAAGTGTATCTTTTTTGAGGGTGCCCAGAGTCCCCCAGGGGTTATAGCTAGATTTCTTCCTCCTCATCACCAATTGATACAATCTTTAGCTTCCTTCAAGGCTCAACTCAGGGGTCAGCCCTCCTCTGATAAACCTTTGTTGATCCCCCTTGTTCAGTTTCTCTCTGTCTCTGTCTCTGTCTGTCTCTGTCATTTTCTCTCTCTCTCTCTCTCACCTTCTTTATACTTAGCTGTGTAATATTTTCTTCCCCTTCCCCCCTCACCTACAAGAATGTCGCTACATGAGAGCAGTGGCTGGTTTTGGTCTCTGTATCCCCAGTTCCTGGAACAGTATCTTGCACATAGTAGGGATCTAAAGTTTGTTGGATTTCATTAAGTAGTATAACACTATTACATAGCAATGACAACTATATAATGAGTTTCACATATGTAAGCTTTTGGTGATAGCATCATTTGACTTTGTAAAAGTTCACATCGTTTCAAGTGAATATCATTTGTGTTACCGAAAATTGTGGCATTCTATGGAATAGTGCATTTTTCTTATGCTTTTTGCCCTGTATCTTCTGGTCATTATATCTCATCTAAAATTTGTCCCTCCCCCCCAGCACCTCTTACAGGGCTCTAAATCCACTAGATAGCTCATGAATATTTATTGATTTGTTTGTTGCCTAATTGTGTGACTAAGAATCGTCTTTCTTTGTAAATTTAATGTACAGTGTTCTGTGTTTCAAGAGGAAATTGCAAAATCAATGAGAAACATCAAATTAATGATGATTATAATTACTTAAAAATACACAGCACTATATAGTTTTTAAAGCACTCCTCCACCCATCATTTCATTGGGACACCTGTGAAATTGCAGTTTTTAAAGCCAAATTATATACTTCCCCCCAAATTTGGGAATGTCATCTTCTTGCTATACTAGCTACTTACTGGCATGCTAATACATATGTAAATGCAAGTGAGAACTGATTTTTAATAGCACAGATTAATTACTGCTGTCAAGTTTCTAGGCCAAACTGTAGGTGTCTGTGGTACCCTCCCACTTCCCACCTCTCCCACCTTTTGGGGCCCCACTCTCTAGACACCCATTGTACTCGTGTTGCCCTGTGTCCCTATCTGCCTTACCCACAGTCTAGATCAGAGATTCCTAACTATTTTGTGTCATGGACCCTTTGGGCAGTCTGGGGAAGCCAGAGTAATGTATGGTAATGGTACTATATCTAAGGTTATTCTTGAGGATAAATCAGAAGCATAATTGGGAGTAGTCTGGGTCAGGACTTCTTAAACTATTTCCACTGGTGACCCCTTCAGCACTTCTTAAATGGGTCATGAACCACAGTTTAAGAAGCTCTGGTCTAGGTAATTGGTTTCTGGTAACTAAAGTAGTGCAATAAGAAGTTCTAGGTAGTCAACCATTTTGATAAAGAGAGGTAGAACTGAGGTACAAATTGCTTCCTTTAAAGCACTCTACTTGAATGACAAGGCAGGCATAGCTAAATGAATAGGAATAGGAGATACTGATTGTCATCCCTGTAGCCTGCTGTCTAGGTACTGAATTTATCTCTTTCTGGTAGATAAAAGCCAATGAAAATTTCATTTTTGTTCAAATGAATAAGTACGTTTCCATGTCTTGCTGTTTTAAAGCTTGGACAAACTTGTTTATTTTTTTTTTACCATTTATGTTTAACTCCAAAATTTGTAATAATGATAAAACCTTTTCATTCTCTCCTGTTGACCTTACATACGAGGAGACAGTTGCCAGTATTATGATTCACTGTGCATAAACCTTAGGAAGCTGTTGTAAAATCTCTAAATCACTGCTCGTCATGGCTAAAAATGAATAGTAGAGCCAAAATGCAAGGTTATAAAAAAATACTATCAACAAGTAAATGTCATGGAAATAGAAATTATTTTTCACTGAGCAGGAACACGAATAACAGAACATGTAATAAATAACTTGTTACGATAAATTCAGTACAATAAAATAATTCATTGAAAGCTTGCGATAAACTATTCAGCACAGACCATCCATAAATAGACCCTAGCACTGTTCACAACACCCCCTTACCTGAATAACAAGACATGTGACTTGCCAATAGCTGTTTGGGTAACTCCCGAGAAAACAGAGCTTGAGACCTTGGCCATTACATGAGAATATTTAATTCAAAATGGGCAAGTCCTGAATTTTAAAATTATGGAAAATATTTTTGAAGTCCCCCGCATTAATCCTGAATCTGATATATAATATTATTGTCATTACCTCAGTGAGTAACAACAAGGTTTCAGAACAATGGCTGCTTGCACTTTTTCCTCTGCCAACATCTTTTTAGGGCCATAGAAGTGGTGATTAGGAGTTTAAAGTGACTATAGGATGGAGCTTGCTGGTTTCTTAGAGTGGTATCAAAATCATCTATATTCTCAACACCATATGAGGATTTACACACACACACACACACACACCACTCCTATAAAATAGTTGCTGCTGTCTTGGAGGTTGTAAAATTTCCATTGTTACTTTGTGATAGAGAGAAAAGGAAAGGAAAGAGAGGAGAGATTATTCAATGAGCATTTATTAAGTCCCTACTATATGCAAGGCAGGTTGCTAGATGCTGGTGATACTAAGAAAAATGAAAAATACCCTTGGCCCTCAAGAGTTTACCTTTTGGGTATGGAAGTGTGTGTGTGTGTGTGTGTGTGTGTGTGTGTGTGTGTGTGTTTTGAGAAGGATGAGTGGATGCAACATGGAAACAACTAAGTATATGTTGTTGTTGAGTCGTTTCTGTTGTGTCCGACACTTTGTGACCTCATTTGAGGTTTTCTTGGCAAAGATCCTGGAGTGGTTTGCCATTTTCTTCTCCAGCATTTATTGGTGAGGAACTGAGGCCAAATTTGAACTCAGGAATATGAGTCTTCCTGATTCCAAGCCCAGTGCTCTATCCACTGTGCTACTTAGATACCCATAAGTACATACAATGAATGATTATTTAAGGAGAACAGAGCACTAACAGCTAGGAAGGAGGGTGGAGGATAGTGTTTACCCACCAAGGAAGGAAAAATGCTTTCACATTTTAGAAAGGTTTTCTACCAGGAAATTTGAAAGGAAAAAATGGCTTTTGGTTCACTCTCATGTATCTGGATGATAATTAAGCTAAACTATCTAATCAAACCATTTGGGGGATATTTTCTTTTTGGGGCCTGTGAAAGTAGATTGTGGCCTTTGGTCCATTGTTCTATAGCTACTTGCTGACTCTACTCTTGTTTTCTGCCCCTTAAATCCTGAGTTCTGAGTGTTTGGAGTCCTGGTGGGAGCAGACAAATGACAGAAGTAGCATTTGACCAGATCCTTTTAATAACCCAACATTTTGAGAAGCCTTACCCTCCATGAGATCTTAAGATTAGCTCTGAAGCTAAGGTGTGAGCAAGACACATTAACTAATCCCTGCAGCATCTGGCCTCTCTTGGCCAAACCTCTGAGCCTCTCAAGGGGACCCTCTTTTACTGTGTAAGAATTTTATTTTATAATTTTAATGATATGATTTTTCTGCTGTGTAATATTTTAATTGATTTCTATTTTTTTCATTCATTTAATGGAAGAAGCAGTTTATAAAATTTCCAGCTATTAAAATAGATGATTCTTGGAGAAAATTTTTAATTTTCCATTTTTACTCCCTCTTTCCTCCTGCTTTGTTTATCAGACTAGAATATGCCCATATGGATGTTAAGATTATTTGGGCTATGTATTACGTTTGCCCAAATCTAATTAAGAGTTCTAGATCAATCAGTCAATCAACAAACATTTATTAAGTACCTACAACATTGTAGGCACTGTCCTAGATGGTAAGTGTACTGATAAAAAAGCACAACAGTCTCCATGCTCAGAGAGCTTACATTTTAGTGGGACAGATAATATACATTCAGAAGAAATATAAAGAGAATAACTACAAGGTAGTTAGAGGGATCAGAGAAGACATATAGAAGATAGTGCTTGAGCTGCATCTGGAAGGAGAAGAAAGACTCTGTGAGGCAGAGGTGTGGAGACAGTACATTCCAGACTCTGGGAGATAGCCGGTACAAAGGCTTGGAGATGGGAAATGTGCTGTTGTGTGAGGAATAGAGAGAAAACTGATTTCACTGGATCGTAGAGTGCAAGAAGATTAGTAGCAGATAATAGACCTTCGTAGGGGGTCACATTGTGAAGGACTTTAAAATCAAATTAGCAAATTATATATTTATTAATAAAGACAATAGAGATACACTAGAGTTGGTTGAGTAGGGGGAGTGATATGGTCCAATTTACCCTTAAGGAATATCACTTTGGCAGCCATGCGGAGACCTGATTGGCGAAAGAAGAGCCTTGAGTCTAAGGAGACTAATTAGGAGGGCACTGCAGGAGTCCTGGTGAAAGGTGAGCATGAACTCAGGTGGTAGCTGTATGATGGAGGGAAGCATCCAGAAGAGAGGGTTCTTACAGAGGTAAAAATAAAAAAATATTAGATAACCAATTGGTTATGTGATATGTGGGAGAAAGAAGTTGAGGAGAACATCTAGGTTGGGAACCTGGAAGACTGGAAGGATGGTGATACCTTTGACAGAAATAGGGAAGTTTGGAACAGGATTGAGTTTGACAAGAAAGATAGTGCATTCTGTTTTGTGTGTGTTTAATTTGAAATGTTTTTGGGCTCTGTAACTTGAAATGTCTTATAGGCAGTTGGTGATGTAGGACTGAAGTTCAGAGAAGATTCTGGGGTAGATCTAGAAATTTGGGAGTGATCTTCTTAGAGATGATAATGGTGAGAGCTGATAGGGTCACCAGGAGAGAGAAGAGAAGAAAAGAGAGCCCTGGAGGGAAGCTTGGGAGTACATACACATTTAAGGTGCATAATGTGGATGAAGAGTCAGCAAAAGAGCCAAACAGAGGAGGTGCCCCTTGACTGAGGAATGGCTAAACAAATGGGAGTGCATGAATGTAATGGAATTTGACTGTCCTGTAAGGTCAGTGAATATGAAGAATACATACGAAGAAGAAGCTTTGGGAAGACTTAGATGATGGAGACTAATTTAAGCAGAACCAGAAAAACAATATGCACATAGACCACAGCAGTGGAAATGAACCACCACCACCACCACCACCACCACCACCACCACCACCACCACCAC